AGTAATTTGCTTCATGTACCTTGAAATTATGAATAATATTTTGTTTCTGTTATGTTATTACAGACATAAATTATATGAAAACCCTTAGCTCTCTGTCCATTTTTCAAAACGATGCTCTCACCATAGCCAGGGTTCCACTAGCCTGATCTAAGTCTGGACCCAAACTCAAGGCTGGACATACCGCTCTTTTGGCCAGGCTGAGTCAGACTTATGAGTGGTCTCTGCTCAGATTCTGATATTTGATTTGTTTATTTATTATTCTTTATTTTCGGGGGTGTTGGGGGAGGGTGCGATTAAAAAATATATCAAGTTACACACACACATACACACACACACACACACACACACACACACACACACACACACACACACACGAAAACACACACACACACACACACACACACACACACACACACACACACACACACACACACACACACACACACACACACACACACACACGCACACACACACACACATATGTGCGTTTAACCCCTTGGTGCCGGGTATGACGTGTACGTACGTGCTATGCCCACCGTGAGTACTTGTTTGATTGCTTTTACGCATAGATGGCAACACTTGTACTAAATCACCAATGAGCCAGTTATGAGCACCACCCGTCTCGCCCGTTTAGCCGTTTCTTTGATTTGCGAAATATTTTACGGAATCTTATTTTGCCGTTACTAATGTTAAAAAAGATTATAAAAATTATAATGTTTATGTTAAAAATAACATCATCGATTTTAATAGCACTAGTGAAAAATACGTTTTTCCCGCCATTCAAATCAGGCGCTAGCAGAGCCATCTATCGGCAGACATTTCACGAAAAACATAGAAAGTGGGCACAATATTTTCCTCATTTTTTGTTCATTTTCCCCGGCACCATTGGGATATATAAATGTATATGTACACACACACACACACATATATGTGTGTGTGTGTATGCATAAATGCGTGTATATATATTCATATTTATACACACATATATGTATATATATATATATATATATATATATATATATATATATGCACATATATATGTATATATATACTTATATATATAATATATATATAATATATATATAATATATATATACTTATATATATATAATATATACATATATATATACACACATATATGCACATATATATGTATATATGTGTGCGTGTGTGTGTGTTTGTGTGTGTGTGTGTGTGTGTGTATGTATGTATGTGCGTATGTTTGTATGTGTATGTGTACACATATATGTGTACGTGTACTCTCACACACAAACACATATGCACTTGTATCCCATTGTTTCTATGGGGTGTATTTCATTTTAACTCGAACAGCGTTAACATGAGCAACGTTTTCACTCACCCTTGCACTGGCGCTGGTCATGCAGTTCCTAAATTCGGCGAGATCGTCACTTTGGAAGCCAAGGCAGTCTCCTGAGTGAGGAAGTCTTTAATGAGCACTTTACAGAAAAGAAGAATGATTTCTGACTATTTTTGCCTATCAGGAACGGATATTTTTTGTGACAGGATGATAGTAATGAAAAAAGAAAGACGGGCTTTTGTTAATGGAGAACAATTTTCCTGTGTTTATACTTTTAAAGGGAACGTTTCCGTAATTTTCGTATGCTGTAACATACCGGGATAAAGTAGCTTTACAAACAAGATCAGCTGTTTGACTTGCCTGTGTTATTGAAACACATGAATAGTTCCTTCTCCGGGAGAGTTCCTTCATCTATCAGCCCCTGAATACAGCCACTGCAAAATTCCATTTTCTGCGTAGCGTTGCACAACTGCCCTGTGAATTGCCAAAAGAGAAGGTATTGTAAATACACTTTCCATTGTCCAAAAAAAGGTAAATATCCGTTTTATGGTCCAATGGAAATTTAATTATCCCTTCCACTGTCCAAAGAAAATGTAAAAATCCCTTTCACTGTCCAAAGAAAATGTAAAAATCCTTTCACTGTCCAAAGAAAATGTAAAAATCCTTTCACTGTCCAAAGAAAATGTAAAAATCCTTTCACTGTCCAAAGAAAATGTAAAAATCCTTTCACTGTCCAAAGAAAATGTAAAAATCCTTTCACTGTCCAAAGAAAATGTAAAAATCCTTTCACTGTCCAAAGAAAATGTAAAAATCCCTTTCACTGTCCAAAGAAAAGGTAAATAACCCTTTCCTTTTCATTCTTACCACCTTGCAAAAAACTCTCTACACTGTGCATCAGTAAGAATAAAAGCGTACACATTTACTCGCAGAAAGAACTAAATACGGTATCAAATCTCACGCAATACGATCTTAAAACCAACACTATGACGACAACACAACTCACACGAACATCCCTGCTCTACTTTGTGCTCTGGCCGTTTCGTAGGTCCCGCGAGAGCAAAGGCCAGGACCACAGCACATACAGAAACGCCGAGCAGCTTCATGGTGGCAGTTAACACGGCTTAATATCCAGTAAATATCTTAATGTTAAGGGGACGACAGAGAAGCGAAATCAGTGTTCGCTTTCAGACACTTGATAACCGTGATTGCCGCGGATTCACAGTCACTCCCTTTTATACTGTCCATTCACATTTTTTTTCTTACAGTCCCTCCCCACCTCCCTCTGGTCTCAGCCCCATCACCGGTGGATTTTGACTGCATCATGCACGGTTATTGTGTGCAGAATATATCTCGTTTTTTATCTGATTTTTTTATTCCTCTTTGTTCATTTACATAGTTGATAGCAATATTACCTAGAGAGAAAAGAGAGAGACAGAGAGAGCAATGGAGAAAGAAAGGAAAAAGAGGATAGACTGAGACACACACACACTCATATATACATACATACATACATATATATATATATATATATATATATATATATATATATATATATATATATATATATATATATATATATATATATATATATATATATATATATATGTATATGTATATATGTATATATATGTATATATATATAAGAGAGAGAGAGAGAGAGAGAGAGAGAGAGAATTTCGAATACAGATTAGAAATATGGTTATTTAATTGTTATTATTACTTTTTCACCTAAATGATGGTTTTACACAATTGCATTTGTATTAGACATTTAAGCATCTTATTTATGTGTGGGATTTAGTATTTTTGGTATTCCTTTAATTAATTTTCAGTAATTTTCGAATGTTCTAATTCTAACTGTATTACTTGAACCCCATATGTGTGAATAACAGTTGAAAATACTAAGAGCTATATTTGTACAACAGAGATCCTCATTTCAGTAGTTTTTATTTATTTATTTATTTATTATTCTTTTAAGTAGCTCAGGTGAATTGATGTCTCCTTTACCTTTCTATGGATGTTGTCGACATAGGTATCGAATGTCACGTATCTCATTATGTGTAATAGATTTTTTTTACGGTAGTGCTCGATCGTATGTAGCAGCTTTCAGAGTCTGTGGTTGTGTCGACAGGAATTTTAGCAATGTTTTGGCAACTGTCAATAAAGATACATTGTTTTTCATTCGGCTTTTTATCTTGAGGCCAATGATCTCGGAATAAAGTTTCCCTTGTGCCTGTGTGTCTTGAGTCTTTTGTAACAATTCATTTATGTTGTATACAGACATGTAAAGAAACTATGAATTGTATTGAACAAGTAGGTAATTTTGGGCTATGATCGACAGATCGTTTAAGAATATTGTGAACAGGGCCTAATATAGCTTACGGATATTGTGAACAGGGCTGGATCTAACGTAGCTTACGGATATTGTGAACAGGATTGGGCCAAATATAGATCCTAATGAAACACCGAAAAATACTAATCAATTTTGTGATTTATTCATTTACAAGAAAAAATTCGTGGTTAATACTATCGAAAACCTTTGTTTGAGTTTTTGGTCTCTAAAAAAAAATCGTCAATTGGTCTTCCACAATATTCTTTAGGTCTCTAGGGTAATAGGTCGAGAGTTATTAATTTCGTCTGTGTCTCCGAATTTGAAAACTGGTGTTATAATGCCATATCTGTGTGGTGTTTTCTGTCTGACACTAATGCTTTAACCATCTTTCATGTCCTTTTTACAATTAGTTGATTTATTCCTGAAATAATTGTTTTGGGCTCCTTGTGACACTCCTCTTATATAGTATATAATCTACCTTGAGGGTCATGCCGAAGCTGTTAAATTTTGGGGACTTTATGAGAGTCATCATTAGAAACAGTTTTTGTAACAAAGGGAGTGATAGCATCTATACTATTTGTATCACTTCCGTGAGGATATTTACCTTATTGTCTATAATATCTGTTTGCAAAATTTCTAGAAGATTTGATTCTATGCGAGCACACACACACACTCACACACACACACACACACACACACACACACACACACACACACACACACACACGCACACACACACACACACACACACACACACACACACACACACACACACACACACACACAACACACACACAACACACACATACACATCTACATGCTTTGTAGCCCTATTGCGGTTTTGCGTTCAGCTAATGTTCTGTAATGAAAAATATAATAAAGCAAGCTTTTTGTTTATTGAATCAGCGTTTGGTTCACGCGAAAAAAACGGTTATTTCATTCATGCAAAGAAAACGCAAATTTCCCCCAATATGCTTTATTGCAGGCGAACAAAAGGCAGGCCGAGGAGTGTAGTGCAGATTCCCAATCCCAGTGATTTACGAACAACAGAAGGGCCGAAGAATCAGGGTTTGTAGGCGTAGGTTTCCGTGGGCCTTATTAGTTCGCTGTGTCCGCTTCAGGGATGGCGATGCATTCTCCCAGCTGGGAATCGAATGTAGGGGTTTACAATTTATTTTCCGTGTCGCAGTAACCGGTTGTAAAGATTCGTATACTTATAGTGCATACATATGTGTGTGTATGTATATTTGTATATATATATACACACATATACATGTACATATATAATATATACAGGGTTAGCATGATTAAAGTCAAACAATATTAATGACCTATAATCAGATTTTTTTTTTTTCTGAGTCAATTTTAGATAAGATATGTACAAATTTAGCTCATATTTTACGTTATTTTGTGCATTCTCTACCACAAACTGTCATCTAGATACCATAATACAGTATGATAGATAAAGTCACATCTAAAGAACAGCTCACGATCTGTTCCTGGTTGTCGAGTGCATGACTGTCCTAGGGTTCTCACTCACTTACACACTCATTTACACAAGACATTTATCAGCATAGGTGTGTGACAGTTTGTACGTGTGAGAGCAACGTTCAGGAAAAGATACTTTTTTTCTTTATTATTATTGTTTTGTTTTTTTGTTCTACGGAAATCTGCATGTGTTATTACATGATGTTGGTTAAAAAGAAAAAAGAAAAAAACAGATTTTATGCTCATACATATACATATATGCGTGTGTGTGTGTGTGTGTGTGTGTGTGTGTGTGTGTGTGTGTGTGTGTGTGTGTGTGTGTGAGTGTGTTAGTGTGTGTGTGTGTGTGTTAGTGTGTGTGTGTGTTAGTGTGTGTGTGTATGCATGTGCGTATGTTTTATGTGTACATGTACACACATATTCTCTCTCTCTCACAAACACACGCACACACATGCACTTGTATCCCATTGTTTCTATGGGGTGTATTTCATTTTAACTCGAACAGCGGTAACATGAGCAGCGTTTTCACTCACCCTTGCACTGGCGCTGGTCATGCAGTTCCTCAATTCGGCGAGATCGTCACTTTGGAAGCCAAGGCAGTTTCCTGAGTGAGGAAGTCTGTAATGAACACTTGGCAGAAAAGAGGAATGACTTCTGACTATTTCTGTCTATTAGGAACGGATATTTTTTGAGGTAGGATGAAAGTAATGAAAAAAAGAAAGATGGGATTTGGTTAATGGAAAACTATTTTCTAGTGTTTATACTTTTAAAGGAAATGTTTTCGCAATTTTCGTATGCTGTTACTTACCGGGATAAAGTAGCTTTACAAACAAGATCAGCTGTTTGACTTGCCTACGTTATTGACGCACTTGAATAGTTCCTTCTCCGGAAGAGTTCCTTCATCTATCAGCCCCTGAGCACAGCTATTGCAAAATTCCATATCCTGCGTAGCGTTGCACAACTGCCCTGTGAGTTGCCAAAAGAGAAGGTACTGTAAATATCCGTTTCACTGTCCAAAGAAAAGGTAAATGTCCGGTTCGTTGGCCAAAGAAAAGGTAAATATCAGTTTCATGGTACAATGAAAATTAAATGATCCCTTTCACTGTCCAAAGAAAATGTAAAAGTCCCTTTCACTATCCAAAGAAAATGTAAAAACCCCTTTCACTGTCCAAAGAAAAGGTAAATAACCCTTTTCATTCTTACCACCTTGCAAAAAACTCTCTAAACTACGCATTCGTGGGAATGAAAGCGTACACATTTACTCGTAGAAAGAACTAAATACGGTATCAAATCTCACGTAATACGATCTTAAAACCAACACTATGACGACAACACAACTTACACGCACATCCCTGCTCTACTTTGTGCTCTGGCCGTTTCGTAGGTCCCGCGAGTGCAAAGGCCAGGACCACAGCACATACAGAAACGCCGAGCAGCTTCATGGTGGCAGTTAACACGGCTTAATATCCAGTAAATATCTTAATGTTAAGGGGACGACAGAGAAGCGAAATCAGTGTTCGCTTTCAGACACTCGATAACCGTGATTGTCACTCCCTTTTATACTGCTATTCACATTTTTTTTCTTACAGTCCCTCCCCACCTCCCTCTGGTCTCATCACCCCATCACCGGTGGATTTTGACTGCATCATGCACGGTTATTGTGTGCAGAATATATCTCGTTTTTTTAACATTTTTTTTTTATTCCTCATTGTTCATTTACATATTTGATAGCAATATTACCTGGAGAGAGAAAGAGAGAGAGACAGAGAGGTAGAGGTAGCGAGAGCGAGAGAGAGCAATGGAGAAAGAGAGGAAGAAGAGGATAGACTAACACACACTCACACACACACACACACACACACACACACACACACACACACACACACACACACACACACACACACACACACACACACACACACACATACACACACACACGCACACACACACACACACACACACACACACACACACACACATATATATATATAGAGTGAGAGAGATTTCGAATTCAGATTAGAAATGTTTATTCAGCTAGTTAAAATTATTATTACTTTTTCACTTAAATGATCGTTTTACACAATTGCGTTTGTATTAGACATTTAAACATCTTATTTTTGTGTGAGATATAGTATTTTTTGTATCTCTTTGAGTCAATTTCAGAAATTTTCGAGAGTTCGAAATTTTAACTTTATTACGTGAACCCCATATGTGTGGATAGCAGTTGAAAATACTAAGAGCTATATTTGTACAACAGAAATCCTCATATCAGTACTTTTTATTTATTTGTTTATTTTTTAAAAAGTAGCTTACTTTTCAATGGATATTGTCGACATAGGTTTCCAATGTTACGTATCTTATTATG